CGGGGAATTTTGAGAGTTGGGAATTTGAAGAGATGGAAATTTGGAGAGTTGGAAATTTGGAGAGTTGGGAATTTAGAGAGATGGAAATTTGGAGAGTGGGGAATTTGGAGAGTTGTGAATTTGGAGGGTTGGGAATTTGAAGAGTTGGGAATTTGGGGTGATGGGAATTTGGAGAGATGGGAATTTGGAGAGTTAGGAATTTGGTGAGTTGGGAATTTGAAGAGATGGAAATTTGGAGAGTTGGAAATTTGGAGAGTTGGGAATTTAGAGAGATGGGAATTTGGAGAGTTGGGAATTTGGAGAGATGGGAATTTGGAAAGTTGGAAATTTGATGAGTTGGGAATTTGAAGAGATTGAAATTTGGAGAGTTGGGAATTTAGGGAGATGGGAATTTGGAGAGTTGGGAATTTAGAGAGATAGGAATTTGGAGAATTGGAAATTTGAAGCGTTAGGAATTTGAGAATTTGAGAACATGACAACTCGAGAGTTCACAAATACACACCTTTAAAAATGCAAAAACATGAGAATATCAATTTGTCAAGTTAAGAAAGGCAACGTCAAGACCTCGTAGAACGAAAGCCAAAGACAAATTTAACGACGTAATTATACGTCACAATCAATTTCCAGACACTACTACAAGTTCTTAATACATATAATATCAAGATTGAAATGGCGTAAGAAACCGAAGTCCAAGAATACCCGTTTCCAATAATATCGTCCTTTGTCTCGCAAACTCCATCTGTTCGTAGTTATAATTTTATATTTATTTCCTAAATATAGTCTAAATGGCGCATGAAACAGGGAAGTAAAATTACCCGCTTCCGGTTAGATGTTTGCAATAACGTCGACCTTTATCCTGCAATTCTGATTGTCATATTGTATGAATGCGCAGATCGTTGATTGAAACGTTATAATAATTAGATTTAATTCTGATCGTTTCAAAAGGAAATAATAGCTTTCGAATAGAAGGAATGGTGTCGGACAAAGAGACACTCTGCTGGAACATTAAAACACAGATCTCTGCTACACGGTACTATTATTGTGTTTCATATTTTTAAATTGTCAAGTTTTTTATTTTTTCAGATTTTCAGATTTTTAGATTTTTAGATTTTTAGATTTTTAGATTTTTAGATTTTTAGATTTTCAGATTTTAATTTTTCAATTATCTAAATTTTCACATTTCCTAAATTTTTAT